CAGCCCTGAGTCTGCTCTCTGCACCCCAGCCTGCCTCGCCTCAGCCGCCCGGGGCTTGTCCTTCAGGCGGGTGCTCTGTCCTTCGGAAACCCCTAGTGTTCATTAAGACTTTGGGGGTCCTGGCCAGGTGGACCATCCTGTGTACCAAAGGGTTTTGGGTTCAATTTCTGGTCAAGGCACATGCCTAGGTTGCAGGTTTGACCCCCAGTGGGGGGCAGCCAATTGATGTCTCTCTCTCTCTCTCTCTCTCTCTCTCTCTCTCTCTCTCTCTCTCTCTCTCTCTCTCTCTCTCCTTCCCTCCTGGCATGTCCAGTGTCCCCATCAATGTACCTCCCTAGTGATGCATCAGGACTCACCGATTTTCTTGTACTCTGACCTGACTCCCCATCAGACAAACTTAATCAATCCTGGTTGCTTGATGGATCAGCTGATATCAAACCAATGGAAAATTATATAAATACTAGAGACCCAGTGCACGGATTCGTGCATCAGTGGGGTCCCTTGGTCTGGCCTGCATCCTGTTTCAACCTGGGACCCCTTGGGGGATGTCGGAGACCCAGTGCATGGATTAAACCCAATCCCCACAGGCCAGGCTGAGGGCCTCCAATATGCATATCAGATCTTTGGTTATTCTCTTCCCACCCTCCCCCGTCCCTCTTCCCTCTGAGATTCAGCAGTCTGTTCCATGTTTCCATGCCTGTGCGTTGAGCGTCTGCCCCTTGGTGGTCAGTGCACGTTATAGCTACTAGTCAAATGGTTGAACCATCCAGTAGTCGCTTAGGCTTTTATATATAGATAGATTTACCAAACACTGTGCTAGTGGCTAGATCACTGGAAATTCCTATTTGGCATAAGTCACAACCCCCAGGACCAAGGTGGTTCAAGGGTATGGAATTCCCCTGGGAGCCAGGAGCCTTGAGCCGAGGTTCAGCTGGCACTCCACCACTTCCTGCCTGTGCGACCTTCTTCAGCTGCTCACTCTCTCTCTCCCTCACAGTCCTCACCTGCAGAAGATGGTCAGGTGGAGTTCCTTGCAGGTGGAGACTGGCACAGAGGCACATCTGCGGGGACAGCGCTGCGTGTCGCCAATGCCTCCCCCTCCCAAGCAGTAGAACCCAGTCCTGTAGGTGTTCCCATCCCCAGTCTCGGACAGAATGTCTCGAAGTGTTTGCCCATCCCCCCTTCCTTCCCCTTCACTCCTCAACCACATGCCCCAGGGGATTCTGGAGCAGCCTGGTCTCCCACAGCCCGGCTCAGCCAAGCCCAATTTCTTCATCCAGGATCAATGATTTCTTCTTCTCCTCGCCTTAAAGAACAATGATGAATCACTGGGCAGCCACAGTCCTTTCTATTATCCCCTGCCTGCCTTTGCATTTCCTCTTTGGCTGTGTAACTTGGCCTTTACGATATCCTTTTTGTGCTAACAGAAATGAAGCCCTCCTCCCCCTCCTCCCCCTTCTACTCCTCCCCCCCTCCTCCTCTTCCTCTACTCCTCTCCTCCTTCCCCTCCTTCTCCTCCTCCTCCTCCCCTTCCTCCTCCTCCTCCTCCCCTTCTCCTCCTCCACCTCTTCACCCTCCTCTTCCTTCTCCTCCCAAGAAGTTCCCTGGGCCAGGAGTTTGAGGAGTCCTTGATTCCTACTGATTCCTCACTGCCAGCCCCACTCCTGGCAGGTTCAGTCACCACGTCCTGCTGCCCTTTTCTCTTAAGAATGTCATATATTGTACATGTATGTTCTGCTTTGAGGCATACTCCTCTGCCCCCTCCCCACGGAACTTGGACACTTAGTCACTGTGACTCAGGGCTGGAGGCCTGAAGGTAGGAGGTTTGAGGATGAGTGTGTAAACCAGTGGTTTGGAGGCCTCTTTGCACGAGTTGACGTCTGCTGTCCTTTGGCTCCAGCCTCACCTCCTCCAGGTGGCCTCCCTGGGCTCCCAGCTCACAGGAAGCCCTCTCCTTCACCCTTTTATTGGTGTTGGGGACCATGTCTTCAATGCAATGCCCAACTGCGGGAGCAAATAAGTACAATGTCTACCCACAGCACAGTACACGGAACTGACCTCTCAGTGTGTGGGTACCCAGACCTCTCTCCTCCAGTCCTTCCTCCCTCCATCCTCTTTCTCCATCCCTCACTCTCATTTTCTCTCAGAGGAAGAGAAGCCACAAGGGGGGGGGGTGGGCAAAGCCAGCCCGTGGAAGCTGGCCAGGGAAACCCCCTTCTTAAGCTGGATCCCGCCCTCCAGCAGTGTGACCAGGTGCCTCTCGCACCTCCCTTTCCGGGAGCTCCTGGCGCTGCTACCAGGAACTGCCCGAGCATCACGGACAGGAGTTGGCAGGGTCTCTGTGTTGTCAGCAGACAGACATTCCTCTCATGGCTCTGCCCATGGCGTTCCGGGCTGAGGGAGAATGGAGGCTGGAGAGTAGTGGATGCTGGTTCTAAAGGGCCACCTCCTCCTGGGAGGCTGGTCTCTCTTCGGGACCCTCACACCCAAGCCCTCCCAGCCCGCACGGGCCAGGCCTCCTGTGACCGGGAGGGGCTCCAGGAGCAGGCAGTGACATTGCCATGGGAGATGGTGAGATTGCAGAGCTGATTTGGGCAAGTCTGGTAGCAATGGGATCAATGTGATAAAAACCCTGGTCCGGCTTCGGGGACCTGCATTTGAGCTGTCAATGACCTCATCTCCCTGGTGACATTTGTGGAGTCCCCTCCGCCCCACAGACTCAAGCTTCCCTTCTGTGCAGCACAGCATCAGCCCATTCCAAGTTTTCTAAGGCCTTACGGTCTGACACCTGGCTCTCCTCCTCCCTTCTCTCCCTCAGCCACCCCCACCCACCCCTATGGCCCAGAGCACCCAGCTCAGTGGGCGAGGGACTCCCCAGGAAAGACTCTGAGGCGGTTCCAGGGAGCCCCTCGTTTCCTCTTCCCAGGTCCCCTGATTTGGTCTCCGGTGGTCTGTCTTGGTCTCCTCCTCAGTGCTTGGTGCAGAGGGTGAGAGTTTCGGCCTTGGCATTCCCGAATCTGCGTGTGAATCCTGGCTGTGTTTGTCCCTTCATCAAGTTACAGAACCTCTCTCCAGGCCTCAGTTTTCTCTCCTCTGAAATGGACACAACAGCATTGGGTGGTTTTGAGGATTAGATGCCATTGGGCAGGTCAAGTCCTACCTAGCCCAGTGCCTGGCACACGGTAAACCCACAGTGAGTGCTGCTGTCACCATCTCCAAGGCCACCGTTATCACCTCCCCTCTGCTCCTTCCAGGAGAGAGCCCCCCCAGGGCCTGAGGGGGCAGTGTGCGCGGCTGGTGCCGGCGGCCAGGGGGCCCTGGCTTGAGCCCTCAGTGTACTCATCGGAGGAGGGGACTCCAACTAGAAGACCTCCAGTTTCCACGCGTGACTCCCAGTGTGCACTGTGCCAGGCACCCCTGCGAATCGCCCCTGCACACACTCGTGTGCTGTACGAGGACAAAAGCGCTCCCTCTGCCTGGCCCTGGGCCCAGCGCCTGCCCGCAGCCCTCGGTGACCTGGAGCCACGGTCCTGCCATCCCCACCACCAGCGTGAATCACGTCAGAGGCTGCACTGCGGCGTGAGGCGGTGCGAGCCTCAGAAGACCCGGGTAGCAGCAGCCTGGGGGCTTCAGGCAATTTGCTCAACCCCCATGACTCTCCGTTTTCCGTCTGTCAAGGGGCAGGCCCGCCCTTCAGGGGTTGCGAGGAGGGTTCGATGAGCCAAGCGCAGCTCTGAGGACCGTGTGAGCTGTCAAGCTTGGGCGAGGCCCAGCCCAAGGTTTGTGTCAGGAGGGATGAGCTCCTTCCATGCACCTACCCTCCCCTGCAAGCGCCCCTCTTCCCCTGGGGGCCTTTGCCCTGTCTGCACACCAGTGTGGGAGGGAGGAGCTGGCCCCAGCCTCTCTCACCTGCGGTCCTGAGGCCTCAGCTGCAGGCTGTCCTTGGCCCCCAGCTGAGTTGACAGGGACAGGGAAACACACAAGGAAGAGATGCACACAGCTTTCTGTTGGTTTGTTTTAATAAAAAAAGAAAGTAAGAAAACAGTAAAACACTTCCCAGGGTGTGCTGTGAGGAAGGATCGCAGGCGTGGAAAGTCCATACAGAAGCGTGTAAAGTACATACGGAAGCAAGAGCAGGCCCAGGAGCGGCTCTCGGACCCTGGGCAGGAGCCGGCCCCTCCGCGAGGCCTGCTCTCAGACACTCAGGTCTCGGGCCGTGAGAAGGGACGCGGGTCTCCGGCCTTGTTCCTCTTGGAAAACTCTGCCGCCCGCTCACTGGTCCATGTCGTGCACACAAGGGGCTGGTCTTTGCGAGGGTTTGTGGGTGGGGAGCACCGGGTGGGGGGCATGGGGTGCACCGCTCCTGTCCCTGCCCTGCTGGAGGTCTCCGGGTCTGGGCCAAGGGTGCCCCTCTGGGGGGCATAGCCTGGGCTTCCCATCTCCATGGCAGAGGAAAGAGTACTGCAGGGAACCTGGGGCCACGGTGGGACTTGGACCAGGATGGGTGTGCTGGGGCCGGGGCTGGGGCTAAGTTCTGATGGACGGCCAGAGGCAGGGGATGCACTTGTTACAATCAGCTTTCACATGGACCTTCCTTCGCTGCTCAGTCCATCCCTCCACCCCGCCCTCCATGGCCCCAAAAGCGGGGTCCACCACGACCTGACCCCGTTTTCTCATCTGTTAAAGGAGGACCTTCATAGGACCCGGCAAGGTAGCTAGATAGTAAGTGTGGTTAGGCCTCTAGCGCCTAGTAGGGCTCCAGGCACACAGTAAGTGCTCAACAAGGGCCGCCTCGGTGACCGTCCTTCAGGCACCAGCATTTCCAGTGCAAAGCTGTGGGTGTGTGTCCAGGTGTGGGTGACACGGAAGGCTTACACCAGGTTCTGGGAACAGGAGGAATTGCTCTGAGCCTCCTGTGTCTGTCTGTCTGGGCAGCTCGGAGGTGCCTGGGCGGCCAGGGGGACCCTGGGCCTGTCCCTGTGGCTCAGGAACCGTGCGGCCTAGACCTCGGTGCCTTCCCGGGGGTAGAGGACGCTGTTCGTGTTGATGCTGTTGTAGAAGTGGGGGCTGAACTGGTTGAGGACAGGGCCTCCGTAGCCCAGGGCGTTGGGGGGCACGGGGTTGGCCCACTCGCCCCCAGCCCCGTGGCCGCCGAGGTTGGTGAGCGGGGTGTAGGAGTTGAAGTTCACCAAGTTCTGCCCCATCTTGTCGGCGGGCTCAGGACTCAGTCCCGGCGCGGCCACGGGGCGGCCGGCGGGGCCAGCCCCGCTCACGTAGGATGTCATGGAGGAGAGGAAGCCGTTGAGGCAGGGGGTGCCGGGGGGCCCGGGGGACGGCCGCTGCTCGGGGGAGCCGGCGGAGCCCGGGGAGGTGCTCTCCAGGAGGTCCTGGGCGTCTGCGCTCTTGGGGCTGCCGGCCAGGAGCCCGCTCTCCGACTTCTCCCCGGGGCCCGAGGGGGCGTCCGACTTCCTCTTCCTCTTCCGGCGGAAGTTCCCGTTGTCGAACATCTTCTCACAGTTGGGGTCCAGGGTCCAGTAGTTGCCTTTGCCTGTGTGGAAGGGCGGTGGGAAGGGTTGGGGGAGAGGTGAGTAGAGACAGACACTGGTGCTTTGTGCTTATTCCTCCCATGTCAACCCTAACCACTGGGACACCCAGGAGAGACAGAGAAACAACAGTCAGACTGAGGACGGAGCAATCCCAACCCCTTGCTGCTGGTTATGCTCACAGACACACAGGCAAGGGCTGTGGAATCTCAGAAGTTCAAGTTCTGGGGGGGGGTGGGGAGGGAGGGCTGCTTCCATTGCGGATGAGGAAGAACACTTGGGGGACAATGTAGGGCCCCCCAAAAGTCCCGGGCATGGAGTCCAAAGATGGACTTGAGCGTCCACTTTGCTCCTCACTGACCGAGGGGCTCCGGGCGAGCCTCAGTTTCCCAGTTTGAGAAGTGGGCCCGTGTGCCTGCCCTCAGTCCGCAGGCGACGTGGGAAGGCAAGTGCAGGGTGTGTGCCTGGGAAGTCCGAGGCCCCAGGTGAGGTCTGGGCTCTGCCTGCCTGTCTGCGTCTGAGCCCCAGGCTACGCCGGCGACTGAGGGACAAACACCTCCCCGTCGCCAGCCTCCAGGAGGGTGAACTGGCCCCCTCCCCACACGCTCTCCTGGCTCCTGCAACCAGGCCAGCTCAGACGTTCGTCCTGGACGTGGAGAGTGAGCATTCAGTGCAGCACGCTCCGCACATCCACCTCCGCGTTGCAGAAACTCGCCATCAGGAGGACAGGCCCGCAGCCCGGTGTCGGAGAGGCCTGCGCTCCGGCCACATTCCAGCCCAGCCCTCCAGCCCGCTGCGATTTGCCTTATCTGTGGAATGGCTTCCCACCACCGCCCGGCAGGGCTGGATGAAAGGGGTGATATAACCGGGGCAGCAGCTGGACGGGGCTCCGGGTGGCGGTTCAACCAGCATCCTGTCTTTCCCCAGCAGTCCCGGGACCCCCTGGGTTTCCACCTCAGTCTCTCACACCCCAGGACTCGCAAGGAGCTGCCGCTGGGGGCCCAGGCCCACCAGCCGCTGCTGCAGATCACGGGGCACCCCCAGGCACTGCACCCCCAGGCACCACAGCCTGGTGTGCGCGACCCCGTGCCCCGGCCACAAGCCTTCGGAGGAGGAGGCACGGTCACCATCCCTGTTTTTCAGGCGGGGAAACTGAGGCTCGGGGATCTAACCAGCCGAGGTCATGGACTGGGCAGGGGCCCAGCCAGGGTGGAAATCCCAACCTGCCTCCAGGGCCCATGGCTGACTCCCCTCAGCATCCCCAGTTTCTGGGGGGCACGGTCAGCTTAACATTCTAGAACGGGGTGTTAGGAAGGAGGTGAGCCTCCCCACGGCCTCCCCGTTACCTGGGTCGTCCTCGTCGCGGGGCACCTTCTTGAAGCAGTCGTTGAGCGACAGGTTGTGGCGGATGGAGTTCTGCCAGCCCGCCTTGCTCTTGTTGTAGAAGGGGAAGTGGTCGGCCACGTACTGGTAGATCTGGCTGAGGGTGAGGCGCTTGTCGGGTGCCCCGTGGATGGCCATGGCGATGAGGGCCGAGTACGAGTAGGGCGGCCGCACCAGCTTCATCAGCTCCTCCTGCGACGGGATGGGCAGCCAGCCCAGCTCGCCGCCCCCCACGCCGGACACGCCGGGCAGCAGCTGCCGCTGCACCCCGTAGGCCTGCGGCAGGAAGGGGCTGGCGTTGGGGCCCGGCAGGTAGGGCTGCGGGGTCATGGCCTGCCCGTTGAGCCAGAGGTAGGGGTTGGGGGTGGCCCCGTACTCGCCGCCCCCCTCGAAGGAGGGGGGCCGCTGCGGGCTGGGCAGGCCCTGCGGGTGGAAGAAGTTCTCGTAGTACAGGTTGACCTCGGGGGGCTCCTGGCCGAGGCTGGGGAACTGGGGGCCGCAGTGGGGGGGCGAGGGCACCGGGAGGTCGAAGGAGCTCATGCTGGGGCCGGGCTGCGAGCACCTGCTGCCACCTGCACGGGAGCTGTCCCTGCAGGTGCTCCGCCGCCTGGCAGCTCCCACTTATACCCCAGGGCTTGGCCGCCCGCCCCACCCAGGGGCGGCCACCCGCGGGGACCCGCCCCCTGGCCAGCCGCCCTGCCCACAGCCACACTGGTCCCGCTAAGGACCTGCCCGGACCTGCATCAATGCTTCCTCTGGCCTCTCCGTCCTTCCCTCTGTCCCCACTGCTCTCCCTTCTCATCCTATTTGCCCCTCTCCCTTTATCTCATTGTTCTCTTTCCTCTTCTCTCCTCCTATTTCTCTCCCCTTTGCGCCTTCCCTCTCTCCTGCCGTCCATCCTCTGTGTATCTGTTTTTCCTTCTTCTTTTTCTTCTCTGCCTCTCAGAATGTCTTTCTCCTTCTCCCCCGCCCACCCCTTCCCTGTCCTTGTCCTCCTGGGCTCTGCCTGTCTCTTGCCTGGGCCTCTCTCTCTCTCTCTCTCTCTCTCTCTCTCTCTCTCTCTCTCTCTCTCCTTTACTCTGCATTTCTTTCCCCATCACTCTGTCCTGCTTTCCCACAGACCCTTTCCTCCCCCCATCCATTCTCTGCTCCTCACCAGACCGGGAGGCACTGTGTCAGCAGCCACATTTGGGGCTTGAAGTGAAAACACACTGTGTGAAGAACCTGGTTCTGGGAATCAGGAGAGCGGAGGGGAAGTGCCAGTTGTATAGGTGATCTCCCATCATACGCACATGCATGCACTCATCCATGTGGATGCACACACACACACACTGCATCTATACACATACATGCATTCTTACACACAGATGTACACACACTCATGCACACATATACACGGACACACACGAGCTCGCACACAAATGCACACACATGCACACGCACACACATTCAGGCACGCACACTGCAGCACACAGAGAGCGGCGTGGACAGGTCTGGGATTACTCTGCAGGAACAGCTGGGCTCATAACATGAGGAGAGGAAAAGCCAGAGGAAGAGCATGTGAGCGGTCTTAGGGGCAATGAGCGTGGACCTGCACTGTCCCAGCTCCTTCCCGGTGGCTGCAGGGACCAGGCAGGCTGGCAGTCCTTATCTGATCAGAGTCCTTTCATGTTTCAGCTTGCACAGGCCAGACAGGGACGGGGAGGGAGCCGGGCTGGGACAGCCCCACCCCTCAGCCCTCCCAGCCCATCTCAGCCTCAGGCTCCAGAGGCAGGACTCCAGCCCCTCCCCCCTCCAGGCTCTGCCTCCAGGCCTCCCTCTGGGGGCTCCAGCCTCCATCTGCAGCTGGGACCTGGCTCTTCCAGCCTCCCCCTCACCCAGGGCGGCCCCCAGCGCGGTGAGTGGGTGGTGGTCCCCTGAACAGGCTTCCCTCTGGGGCCAGCAGCCTCTCTGGTCACCACCTCCCTCCTGCGCTCCCCTCTCCTGTGTGGAGACACGGGGAAAGTGGAATGTCATGCATGGATCTCGTCATGGATGAATCTCGTTGGCCGCATCTTGGTCCCTACAGGATGATGGGGTGACTGGGTGGGAGGGGTCCTCCCAGGCCCTGAAGAACCCCTGTCCTCACCACGGAACAGCAGTGAAGGATGGCTCAGAAGGGGCCTGATTGCACGTTTGTTCCAAAGAGGCAAGCGAAGAGGCCACACTTTTGCATCCAGGGTCTCCACAAGGCCTGGCTGCTGTCCTTTTAAAGAATAGTTATGTCAAACCGGTTTGGCTCAGTGGATAGAGCGTCAGCCTGCAGATTGAAGGGTCTCAGGTTCGATTCTGGGCAAGGGCTTGTACCTTGGTTGCGGGCACATCCCCAGTTGGGGGTGTGCAGGAGGCAGCTGATCGATGTTTCTCTCTCATTGATGTTTCTAACTCTCTGTCCCTCTCCCTTCCTCTCTATAAAAAAATCAATAAAATATATTTAAAAAAAAAAAAGAGTCTCCATGGGACCCATCGATGCAGACCACACCCCCACCCACCGCTGTGATGGTCCATCCTCTCGTTAACTAAGCAAAAATCAGCTACAGGGCTGCCCACCCCAATGCTGCCCATGGCCAGAGCCACACCAAACGGAAACTAACCTGGATGTCCAGCCATCGGGGACTGGGCAAATGAACTTCTCACCATCCAAAACGATGCAAGAGATTGTAGCGTATTTTGGAGAGATGTGCATGTTCTAATAACATTACGATATTATTGAAATACCGTGAGTGGCAGGAGGTGGGGAAAAGTATGAATTCATCCATGTGTATGAACTATATAAATAAAAGTACCAAACTGTCTACTACGATTTCTGCATGGAAAATTGGATGTGATCATAGTTTCTGTTCTTTTTCTGATTTCTGATTTAAGTGGTTACACAAAAGCAGGTAATGTGCTTTGGGGGTTCCAGCAAGGGGCAACATGGTAAAAAGACAGAGGACACGGGGGTTCTGAAGTCGGGGGACCTGGGTTCAAACCCCAGCTTTGCTGCTGAGCAACTGTGTACGATGGGACTTAACGTTCTTGGCTTGAGTTCTCAGGTGACAATCGGGAGAGTGCCCCGTCATTCCCGGGGTGGCTGTGAGCACCCACAGAGGGAACCAACGTCACCGTGTAGACATTTCCCACGGAGCACAGAGGCGCGCGGTAACCTGGTGATGGTGGCATGGTCAGGGCAGGTTTCATAGGTGTCATGGTCCCTGGGTTTGCCATGTTCACTGGTCCCTTCCAGCGGCCTGCAGGCTGGGAGGGGTGGCAGGTGGGGTGGCAGAGAAGGACACCAGAGCGGGACATGCAGTGCAGACACCCACTGGTCAGCCAGACCCTGCCATCTGTAGCTGATGGTCAGAGGGGCCCCGAGTCACATGACAAGTGCACAGCTGTTCTGGTCAGCACCTGTCTCCCTCCTCTTTCCCCCATTCCACGCTTGCCTATTGCTGGGGTGTTCTTCCTTAGAAGCATTTTGGAGGAATGCTCGCCTGGCTGCCCCTGTCACAAAGGGCCCCGGTTCTTTCCCCCGGAGCCCAGTGGCTGGGACACTGCCTCTCCTGCCCTCGCCACAGGGTCAGGCCTTCAGCCAGAGCGCCCCAAGCATCCCCAGAGGCCCCCGTTCCCGACTCCCTGACACTGCACAGGCCTTGGGGCGGGGAGCAGTGTGGCCTGTCCCGACCCCGGTGGAGGTTGGGGAGCTGCAGGCTCTGGAGCCCCATGAGTAGCCCCAGGCCCTCTGGGGAAAAAGCACATATCTCTATAAATGGGGGTCCTTTTGTGGACTTTTCTTAGGCTTTTGAATTTTTCCAGAAGTGGAAATCACAGTCTGAGAAGATGGGCCTTGATCAATGTCAGGGAAAAACAAAACAAAAAAACACACACACAAAAAGTTGGGCAGAGGGTCCTGAGCCAGCCTGGGGAGTGCGGGGCCACAGCTGCAGTCCAGAGGGGAAAAGATCACATATTCTGAACCTCAAATCGGGACATTTGTGAGATGGCACTAGGACATCAAAACATGGGCTGTGGGGTGGGCACAGCTGGGCCCCGGCCCCTGCTTTGCTCTTTGGCGCCATGTTTCTTATCTCAGAAGGCCTGTTTGCTCATCTATTAAATGGAGCTGCAAATGGAACTTGTCTGGTGGATTTTGCCGGGAGAAGTGATGTGATGTGGGAAGTGCAGAGCCTAGGACCCGGCAGGAACTGGTGGTGAGGGTGAGGAGGAGGATGCTGGGCCAGGGGACAGGGACTGACAGGGAGGTGGCTCAGGGCAGGGATCTGAACTCCTCCAGCCAGCAGTCTGCCATTTGCTCCAACTTGGGGCAATTCCTTCAATTTGGGGCGATGCCTGGGGAAAGAGGGGAGGCCTGCCACTCCCTGGGTGCCCAGCAGTCAGCCTGGTACACTTCCGGGTCCTGGAGCCCATGCTGGGGTGAATGCCCAGGCCCCCACCGAGACTGTGGCCAGCCAGGGCCACTGATGCTGGCCTTGACTTTCAGGGGTGCAGGATTTTGTAGTGAAGCAGCAAGGGGAGGATGAAGAACCAGAGACAGAGGAGGCAGGTGGCATCTGCAGCAGCTATCCCTGCCCCACACACCAGGCACACAGGGAGCAGACAGCGCGGCCCCGAGGCCAAAACTGCTGATTCTCAAGCCTGACTCTACTCCTGAATATGAGTGCCTCAGAGCACAGCCAATTATCCGGACCTGTTTCCTCGTCTGTAAAATGGGGAACTCCAACTCCCTCCCAGAGTTGCTTTGAGGACTAACACCAGGCACTAGCAGGTGCTCGGTGAATGTGAGCTCCCGTGAGGGGACTCAGGAGCCGAGGGTGAGGGGAGGCCTCCCCTGCCTTCCCCTCCTGCCCCTTTAACAGGGGCATGGCGTCTTGGGTTCCTCTCCTTTTACACAGAAAACACCAATCAATACCGTGTGAGTTCCAAGGTTCCTGGAGCCTGGCAGGGTGGAGATAGGCTGCAGTGGGGAATCAGGGGATTGGGGCCCAGCTGGCTTCCAGCTGAACCTCTTTGTCCCACCGTTTCCTTATCTGTAAACTGGCTTTCTACCTACTGCCCACAGGTATGGCTCTGAGCAGCAGCCAGCCTCCTGTCCTGTTGGGACAGTGCTCAGGAGGGCTGTCTCAGTGCTCGGGGCTGGCCTCCCGACCGGTGCGGTCCTCCGGGAAGCCTGGTCCAGCTGTCAGGCAGGCCACCACCCATATTAGTGCCATCTCCCCTGCTTTTCGGCCTCTGCTGGAGTTGGCACCTGGAGAAACATAGGCCGATGGCGCCCTCTGGCGGCCATCTCTCTGAGAGCAGGGAGCAGAGTGCAGAGACCCGCTGACATTCAGGGCAGGCCCAGGGGGTCAGATCCCCTGTAAGTGGCAGGTTCCCAGGAGAAACTGCAGCTTCAGGAGGCAATGCACCCCTGGAGGGAAACACTTGAGTTCCGCTGGGTGGGAAACGAGGCAAAATGACGTAGAAAGCAGCCAAGGGGAGCATCGGGCCTGGTCTGGATTCCAACGCGGTTCCTCCAGTTATATTTTCCGAGTACCTCAGTTTGCTTATCTGTAAAACGACGATAAAACCAGGGTCTCCTCCTCCAAAGGGCTCTTGCAAAGACCCGAAAGAGGCAAAATAGGAAATGCCTTGGAAGTGAGGCTTGGCAGGAGTTCATCCCTTTGTTTATTCAGCACACAACGGCTGCCTTCGCAGTAGCAGCTGGAGGTGTGCAGGGCCCTGTACTGGTGGGTGTTGAGGCTCACACCTTGCGATTCTGCCATCTTTGTGCTGTGCCTGTAGCCAGACTTATTCATACATTTTTAACTGACACTTCTGCTCAGCCACCCCCCACCCACTCCCCCAAAACATGGGCATTCAGTCATTGCCTGAGGGTCTGTTTCCCTGGAAACCGGAGGCAGAGGCACCCAGGATTCAGATGGAGCAGCAAACAGGTTAGGCTGTCTGGAGGGAGAGCAGTCTGGGTGTCAATGCCAGGAGGGCCCTGTGTTTTTCTCAACTTCTCTCCTCATAAAGCAGGAAGACTAGGAGGAAGAAAAGAAGGAGGGAAGAAAGGAAGAAAGGAAGGAAAGAAGGAGGGAGGGAGAAAGGGAGCATCAGGATAGTCCCCCCTCACCATCCCATGATGCTCCCCCCTCACTATCCCATGATGCTCCCCCCTCACTATCCCATGATGCTCCCCCTCACCATCCCATGATGCTCCCCCTCACCATCCCATGATGCTCCCCCTCACCATTTCATGATGCTCCCCCCTCACCATCCCATGATGCTCCCCCCTCACCATCCCATGATGCTCCTCCTCACCATTTCATGATGCTCCCCCCTCACTATCCCATTATGCTCCCCCTCACCATCCCATGATGCTCTCCCTCACCATCCCATGATGCTCCCCCTCACCATTTCATGATGCTCCCCCCTCACCATCCCATGATGCTCCCCCCTCACCATCCCATGATGCTCCCCCTCACCATCCCATGATGCTCCCCCCTCGCATGCCCAGGGACTTGGGCTCTCAGAGGGGAGCATCCACCCCAGGTCTCTCTATGGCTTGAGCTCTGAACCCCACGTTGTCATGCGCCCAAGATGCACCCAGTATCAGTTTTCTTCCTAGTGAGCCCTCAGCCTCCCGCAGCCCTCCCCTGCAGGTCCCAACAGGCACAGAGGTGGCCTCCCCATCCCCTCCTCCTTCCCTGGAGGAGCCCCTCACTTTCCTGGGGCCTCACTTGGGAGCCTGGGGTCCCTGCAAGGAAAGCCACACCTCTGACCCGGTGGCAGACTCAAAGGCGGGGCCCTCCGTCCAGGGACCTCAGCCCCCTCCTTCCTTAACACTCATGCATTTGGTGGGCGGTGTTGCCATCTCTTTCCAGAAGGGAGAAAGGCATGTGAAACTATCCATGGTGCAGACTGCACGAGGAATGTTCTGGAAGACTATTCTGGTGTCCCTGGACCCAGCATTCAGCATCTAAGGTCCCGGAGGCATGGAGAAGATTCTCCGGGGTGGGGGTGGCGGAAACAAGGAGGGCAACTTAGCCTGTAGGATGTGCTGGGCCAGGCACCTTCACATGGCGGTAGGCCCTGGCCTTCCCGCCTTCCTGCCTTCCCATCACCTCCAGGAGCCACGGACCGGGCTGGGCTCCGGGATGCAGCCAGATTCAGAAGTCGCAACTTTTATTGCCAGAAAGAGATAGCAACACGTTGGAGATGATCAGCTAGAGAAAAGACTGGGTGTTGACATTAAAAAATGTAAAGTACAAAACTGTTATCCAAAAATAAAATAAAAGCGTATTTAAAAGGCTTTTCTGTTAAGGACGAGGGCTTAGGAATGAGCCAGAAGCCCAGCTCCTGCACCTGAGAGCCGGGCAACGGAGAGATGTGCCAGGACGCGCAGTGGAGAGGCGGCTGGGACCCGTGGGTGTCCGCACCCCTCCGGCGTGTGTCCCCGGAAGCTCTGGGCCAGGTCAGCCGCCCCCGGTCTGAGTGCAGGCCCATCGGAGGCTCCCGCTCCCGAGACGTCCGTGTGGAGCTCGCTTCCTCTGGACGCTCCTCTCCCGGCTGAGCACAGCCCTGGGCAGGCAGGCACATCTCACAGGTCAGGGGGCAGGTCGGCGGTCTGCTTGCTGTCCTCGGAGGACTTGCTGGCCAGCTGAGGGGGTTGGGGGGAAGAAACAGCACCCCCCAAGATGGGACTCACGGCCACCAAAGTGGGGCTCCCCAGTCCCAATCCTGAGGGCCCCTAAGCGGACCCCAGCCCAGAGCCCAGGGAGCTTGGGCCCCCGACCATACGTGTGGCCACACAGCGGTGCGAGCACAGGCTTTGCTGCTTCAGGGACAGAGCTGGTTGGAGCCGGAGAGGGGAAGGGGGTCGGCAGGGCCTGCTCGCTGCGCAGTGAACTTGACATTGTTACAGAAGCGGAGTTCCCATTTAAAGTGTCAGTGGCTCTTTATTCTGAGCGACGGCCACTGAGTAACAGCAGCAGATGTACTTGAATAGTTGGGGCTGGAAACTAAATTCTAATTATTAGGATTCTGTAATATAAAGTGAAGAGAAAACTCCCCAAACTCTCCCACAGCCAGCCCCCTCATGTGGCCTGCCGGGCACCCCAAGGGCAGTCTGGGCGAGGACAGTATGGGTTCCGAGACTCGGGGCCTACACACCCTGGCACAATCCGCAGCCCAGCTGGTCAGTGCTGCTCAGAGTGACCAGGGACTTGGAGCCTGGCCCTGCCTCCCTGGTGACCACACATGCGCATGTGTGCGTGCGCGCGTGCACACACACATTTGTACACTCACATACACACTCACTCACATATACACATACACACATGCACACACATAATCACACACTCACACTCATATTCATACATGCTCACATACATGCACATACACACTCACACTCATACACACTCACACACACACACTCAGACATTCACACACACACACACACTCATGCACACAACATACATACACTCATATGCGCGCGCACACACACACCATTTCTCCTCTCTGTTGTCTCTTCCCTCTCCACCTCCCACCCCACTCCTCCTTCCATCTGGGTCCTCACCATCGTCTTGAAGAACTGGTTTACTTTCTTCCGTTTAAGCGTCTTCTTGTCGTTCTTGTCGTTCTTGTCGCTTTCCGAGAAGGGGAGGAAGGCCTGGCTGAGGCGGGGGGACCGGCTGCCATCCTCCGTCCCGGGCACAGCTGCCACCGAGAGCGTGAAGGCTGGAGGGAGAGGGAGAGCAGGCGTGAGCGGCAGGGGAAGGTGCGGCCCAGGGCAGGGTGAGTGACGGGGTGGCAGGCGGGTAGCAGGCAGGGCACAGAATCTGGGGAGGACAGGACACAGCCGGGCAGGAGTGGTGGCCATGATCTCTGCATAAGGCTGCCCAGCCCCTGGACAGTGAAGGGCCTGCCTCCAGGGTCCACACACCCTCCTCCCAGGGCTTCTGGGCTGGCTGCGGGGGCTCAGGCAGAGAGGGCCCCGGCTTCCTCCGGGGACATGTCCTTCCCCTTCCAACACCCGGACCCTGGCTTCTGTTTCTCCCGGAGGCACGGCCAGTGAGGACAGCGGCGTGACACCCGCTCAGAGTCACACAGACCCTGGCAATCAGCGACCTCTGACCCTCGGTTTTGACACGAGCCAAATGGGGGGAAGAGCACAGACCCCCGGGCACCAGCCCTGGGCCGACCCCTCCCTATAGGGCTCTCCTGCGGTTGGCTGGCAGTGTTGGGGCGGCCCCAGGACACAGGCCTGAGTCTGAACCCGGCCTTTGCATGACTAGCTGGTAACAGGCAGGGGTTGGCGTTCTCAGTGCCTCTTTCCTCATCCACACGGTGCGGCTACTGGCACCAGGCACTCCACAGGTGGGCACTCCACAGGTGGGCACGGAGGCGGAGATGAAACAGTGGGAGAAGCAGTGGGCACAGGGCTGGGCACTGGTCAGCACTGGGGGAATAGCAGGCGTCTTGGCTGAGGCCCCCGCCGTGCTTGTGGGCAGCGCCGGCCTGTCTTGCTCCTCTCTGCCTCGTCCCTGGCATAGACAGCCTGGCCCAGCGTGGCAGACGCTAGAGGCTGCTGCGTGCCAGATGGCGTGCTCTTGGGCGTGCCACGTGACCAGCGAGGGCCTCAGGGTTCCCCCCTAGGAACCAGGAAGGGTCATCTGCGGGCTGCTAACCTCGCCGGACAGTGAATGGGTGACGGGGAGGTACGCAGCATCCACGCATCAAATACTCGTCACCTGGAAGATGCGGTGGTAAGTTCCAGATCCCCAAAGAGAGCGCGGGGCTCAGGGACCCGCTGCTGCCCCCCGGGGAGGCCTGGCTCGCTGAGAAAGCAGGGCCACCTGTGTGATGAAGGCTCTTCCAGTGAATCCTGGGGCCCGGGTGACCGCAGGCCCCCACCCCGGCACCTGGGGGAGCTCTCGAGGTGGGGAACAGCTCACAGGACAGGGTGTGGGCCCACCTGGCTGTCTGGACACCCACTCTCCACGCCCAGGCTGGTGGCTCAGGCCATCTCATCTCTACCCACCTGAGCTGGCAGGGGCAGGGGGCATACCTGGGATGATGGGCATGGACTGGCTGGCGAAACTCATCTGAGAGAGGACGGATGCCCTGGGCGGGACGGCCGCGTGCTCCGAGAGGTTGGTGTCACTCATGAACTCGTGCTTTCTGGAGAGCTGAACACACACACACACACACACACACACACCACAGAGACTCAGCCCGGGGAAGCTCTGGGCCAGAAAGTTAGTGACGAGGGCTCGGCCAGGCTTCTGAGGCCCCTTTCCAGCTTCATTTATTCTGTTTGGCATCATTTGGTGCCTGCGTGTAGTACGTATGCACAGGCTGCCCGCTGCACAGCTCCAGGGCGGGGGCAGGGGTGGCGTGTGGCATTCGTTTAGACCAGTGGTCGGCAAACTCATTAGTCAACAGAGCCAAATATCAACAGCACAACAATTGAAATTTCTTTTGAGAGCCAAATTTTTTAAACGTAAACTATATAGGTAGGTACATTGTTATTGGCTTAATTAGGGTCCTCCTGAGCTGGCCTTTGCTAAACACTCAAGGGCACAAAGAGCCGTATGTGGCTTGCGAGCCGCAGTTTGCCAACCACCGATTTAGACTATCGTGTGAATGACTCCCCTGGGAATTGTGAAACACGGGACTCTTATTGCCACCTCTCCGGGCAGGAGCCACTTCTGGCTGGGCTCCCGCTGCCCTGGAGGAACCCACCGGGGTCAGAGGTTAGAGCAGTCTGGGACCTGGGGCCCGGGTCCAGTGGGCAGGAGAGGTAGAAACAGCTGGCCCAGCACGGGAGGGCTGCTCTCCCTTTAGTGGGTGAAGCAGGCGCTTCCCCTGGCCTCCCAGAGCCGCTTGTGATGCCAGTAAAGACACCCAGGCCGGAGCCCGGTGGCCTGGGTTCAAATCCTGGCTCCGCTGTGCCCCGGCCAGAGTTTCACCTCCCTGTCCTCAGGTGCCGCCCGCGTCACACCCACCTCACGGCAAAGGGGAGGCTCCAGTGGGGCCGTGTCCGGGAGCCCCGGGGATGGTGCCGGCGCACAGTAGGTTTGCTAAGGGTGGCGCTGCGGCAGCCTGCCCAGATGCTCACCCTCTTGAGGTCTGACTCGGCTGCTGCCTTCTCGTCGGCGAACACCACGCTGCTCCGCTTGGCCCGCTTCTTGGACCTGCGCAGCTTGACCTCGGGCAGCGTGCTCCCCGGCGGGGAGATGGGCTCCGCGGGCTCGGCTCTCTGCACCCTGGGGGGAGCCAGTTCCAGGTCGAAGCTGCAGGGCCAGAGGGACGGGGTGGCACTGCCGTTAGAGCCCCTGTGGGGCCGCCTTGCCTCGCAGGGACCCGGGCTGACTGGGTGTCATCACGGGCTGGGAGGGAACGGCTGACCTGGTGGAGTTTGGGGAGCCACTTGCCCAAGTGGCAAACATTCAAAACACAGAGCGAGTCTGGTGGTGAGAAGAGGAGATCGATGAAAGACATGGATCTGGGTTCAAATTCGGGCACTGCCACATTTTAGCGGAAGGACCGTGGGCAAATCATTCCACCTCTCTGAGCCATTATGTCCTTTGCAGGAAACAGGGGTGTTGGCGGTAAGCTTGTGAGAGACAGGGGTGAGGTCTGAGGACTCCGAGGCACACCCTTGGCCGTGGAGAGCGCTGGACTCACAGTGTCTGCCATCCGAGTGGCTGAGCAGGGCCTGGTGAGCAGAAGGCCCAGGGCGTGGAGGGGAGGAGGGGGGCTGACAGAGGTAAGGGGGTGCAGGAGGAGGCCTCTGTGTTGGGGAGTGGGGAGACAATTCCAGACCCAGGCAGGCTCTGCGGGTTGCTCTGTGGGTTGTGGGCAGGCAGGTCCTGCCGGATCCTGGGGAGCAGCCCCCTTGCCTCTCGGGCTGGGAATGCCCCTTTGATGGCGGCAGCAGGATGGCAGCCTCCCAGGGTGGGAAAGTTCTTTCGGAGGGAAGGGCAGGAAGATGGGGGAAGGGCGGTGCTGGGGCAGAAGGAGGAGCTTGATGGGGGCCGGGCCAGGGCGCAGGGGGCCGGGGGGTGGGGGAGGGGGGCCCTGTACGGGGCAGGCACTGACCTCTCGGGGGTGGTCTTGCTGGGGGTGCTGCAGTCAGAGTTCATGGACGCCATGGAGATGATGGACATCTGCCGGTAGGAGCGCAGCATGGACCGGGGCCGGCCCACCCGCCGGTCCTCAAAGTCAGGCTGCGGGGGAGAAAGGACGATGAGAGCCTGGCCCCACAGAAGGCTGGGAGCTGGGTACCTGCCCCCCTTCCTGCTACCCATCCTCCAGCTGGCGGGGGTGGGGGGCAGCTAGGGGACAGAGCAGGGCGGAACAGCTCCCTGGCTGGCAGGGCCCAGGGCCCAAGGAATTTTCCAGGGCTCGGGGGAGGTGATCCTAAGTCCTTGCAATTTCCCCAGCGACAGGAGTGTCTTTGTTATTTATGGTGGCCCTTCATGCTAATTAGAAGATTCTGGAAGGTGCCAGCCAGGCCAGAAAGACCAAGGATGTGATGAGAGGGCTGGGCTTTGAGTCCCAGGAGGGATGGGGGCTGGAGATGGATTCCAATC